TTTTTTGCCGCGCCCTCCGTGCTCACTGTTAGTGCAGGAGCTGGCAGATGCTCCCAGTAAACATTCCATCCTCTCAAAAAACATTTCCGATTGTTTCTTTTTCTTTTCCTTGCCCAGGCCAGCCTTGGCCAGGCCAGCCACCAGAAGCAGCAGGATAGCCAGGATAGCCACCAAAAGAAGCAAAACAGCCTTTGAGAGGCACCGCAGGCTCAGCAAAAGGAGAGGAGAGGAAAGGAAAGGAAAAGGAAAAGGAAAAGAGAAAGGAGAGGAGAGGATGGGAAAGGAAAAGGAAAATGAACCAGAGAGGAGGGGAAAGGAACAGGGAAATGAAAAGGAAAAGGACAAGGAAAAGGAAAAAGGACAAGGACAAGGAAAAGGAAAAGGAAAAAGAGTGGAGAGGAAAGGAAGGAAAAGGAAAAGGAAAAGGACAATGAAAAGGAAAAGGAAAAGGAAAAGGAGAGGAGAGGAGAGGAAAGGAAAAGGAGAGGAGATGAAAGGAAAAGGAAAAGGAGAGGGAAGGAAAAAGAAAAGGAGAGGAGAGGAAACAAACAGGCGATTTGCGGCAAATCAATTGGTCAATTGTCAATTGCTTTTCCCTAGGCGCGCGCAACTTTTGAATTAATATTGGACCTCCTTCAAGTTTGGAGAAGCCCCTGAAACCACTCAAGACGTCATTGTGTGGTCGTTCTGCCCATTCGCAATTAGCTGGCCTACCGTTCTCAGGTTGGTGTTGCAGGAGAAAGAAGTCCTGGTGAAATTGACGTCGTTGGGAGGCGTGCGCATCTACACAAAAGAGACCTATCACCAACAGTATGGCATACTCAGTATGGCAGGGACCCTGCTGACGATGGCATCCAAGCAGAATCTTTCACAGCTCCTTCTGGCCAGCAGCTTCAGGTGTTCAAGGCCGGCGCAGAGTTTCCACAGCAGACCTTAGGTGTCCAAAATGAGAATGGTGCAGATTGCCCAGCCAGCAAAATGAGGACGCCTTCAATGATTAATCTTGTTTGGCAGGTCTTCCATGGACTGAAAGATGCTTGGGAGCAGAAGGTGGAAGAGGTGAATAGGTGCCTGTTCCAGCGGGTGCTGGACTCAGGAGCTGTGTCGCTACCTGCCTGCAGTCACAGCGCCAAGTCATCTTCATTCTGAGTTGTGAGGGTTGCAAACCAGTGATAAGGAGGCAGACTTTTGTTGCGTCACTTCCTCCAGTCAGTCTTCTCATTGTTTGTGAAAGTTTCTCTTTCGTTTTTGGTAAATAGAAAAAGGAGCAATGTTTCAATTCACAGATAACAGATAAAACATATTTATAAATATAATTCACGAATTTCTGCTTCCAGGCTGACGAAAGACCAGCAAACCTCACGGTTTGTGTCTCGTGACAAGCTGGTCACGAGCGCATGGGAAACCACCAATTTGGCAAAGGCCCCCCTGGAGAAACTAGACCGCTCCTCAGACGCAGACAGCTTCCTGGCTGGATTAGAAGTATTCTGGTGCTAGCTAGCGCCACTCGAATGTTGTCTTAAGCTGTGGAGTGTTTGTCCCGACGAGGCATGTGTGGGATCCCTGGAGGACTTCCAGGGTGCGCGTGCTGCTCTGGATAGTTTGCCAATTGACAATTGGCTGGAGTCAGTGTGGCCAGGTCCAGGCCTTGAGCACCAAGCTGCAGAAAGTGAAGGTATACGCGTCAAGTGTGCACGGCCTCAACCTCCTGTTCCACCGCTGTGTGCCAACAGGAACCGAGTGGAGCGCTCGGCATTGTGCCGCGAGCATCTTGGCATCAAAGGGACCCAGCCAGCGATTCTCTGGCAACTATGTTTTCAGCGCGCGCGCGCGCGCGCGCAAGCAGAGTCAACGTTTCGTGATGGAGATTGCGAGTTGCGCTGTGGTTCTTTTGCGTGGTCCATGTGAACGCATTCGTGTTCTTTTCTTTTTCTGAGGTATCGCAAGACGCTTGAGCGCAACGGCGTCACAGTTTCAAAAGCACTGTTGCAGTGGCTGGAGGCAGCCACTGCGTGAGCACAGTGGACTGAGGTGGTGCTGTGGCAACCTGCAGCCCTTCTTGGAAAAATAGGTCAAAGTAAAAGAACCTGTGTTGTTGTTGTTGGGCAGGGGATCTTCAGTTGGCTGCAGCCTGCCACGTGTGCTCCCTGCTTCTCTCAAAGCGTTTTTTTTGCAGTTGTGGGAAGTGCGTCTTTGCAATTTCCAATTGCCGAGTGTCAGATCTGCTAAGTCCAGCTCTACCGGCCCGTGTGACTACTTGTCTTTCAGCTAAATTTCTTCAATGTTGTGAAAGAAGTGTTGATGATGACAGTTTTGGGTGCTTCTTGGAATGTTGATGCTGAAGCTATTCTTTTTTAGTTCTTTTTGCTTCCAGCCAGTCCCAACACAACCTCTAGTCAACCAATGTTTTGTTTGGAAGTGGCTGGCTCAGATTTTGGCTGGCTCAGATTTGACAGACCAAAAAGGTCTAGGGATCTAACCCAAGCGAGGGAACGCAAGGTTGTAACATGTAAGTAAGACTGTAAGAACAACCGAGAACAAAAGACAGCATGTATGTTCTTTCATCATGAGTTCAACAAAAAATCTTCTGTGTTCAACCACTCTTTGAAGCCCTCGCCTTGGAAAGCCCAAACACGCAGCACCAATTGTTGGCAGAAAAAGGTTTCGTGTGCTTTTGTTTTTTGGAAAAGTTGTGCCAGAACTCTTGCACCTTGGGACAAGTGTAGGGTAATTCTTGACCAACCTGACTCCTGGCAGGCCGTGACTTTATGGACAGCTTTGCTTAGCCAGGGCTAAAAAGAATCGCATCCCTTGGTTGGGTGGGAGTGTTTTTTGACGTTTTTCACCGTGCAAAAATGGTGCTCTGGTTTGTGCTCGCTGTTACAGCTATTAGGCAACACCCAATATATATATATATATAATGACATAAGCACTTGTGACGGACCAACTCTTCAGTTTGGATGCAGTTCCCAGGTGCCCCTCGCAATTGAACCATACTAATGCTATAGTACTAGAATTCGCTGATGTGATAGACATTTTTACAACAAGCAAACAGTACATCAATATAGTGTTGCTTACAACAAGAAAGGATACACCCTTTCAATGCCGTTTGGATCAAACGAGTTCGACAACAGACGATCACATCTTGCCAGGCAACTTTCCGTTTTCAAAGTGTTTCCTATCAGTCTGATCAGTCCAGAACAAAAGGCGTACCCTACTAACAGCATCTAAAAGCATGCTGCTAGGGTTTCCGATATTTGGTGCCTTTAGTATGCAATAAGAGTCATTATTATTACATTGCGAGCTTATCGCGGCCCGCTATTTCTCGATCGCCGGCCGGCCGGCCGCTATTTGGCCAGCCGGCCGGCCGGCTGGTCGCGAAATAGCAGGCCGGGTTGCCCGCGCTGTCAACAATTTGACTTGTGCCATCATCTGAATGGTTTTGAGTGCCTGCAGTCCAAGGTTGGGTGCCCCGCAATATTTCGGGACACTTCCGTTGGAAGGAGATGTCCGTCCAGGAACCACATTGCCTCCAAACATGCCGACTGCGAGACGATTGCGCAGCCGTCCAATACAAGGAGGACACTTGCAGGTTTATGGTCAGTGATGGTAAAGAAACATTTTTGGACGGTCAGGTGCTGGTGCGGCTGAACAATTGCTCAGAGCAAGATGCTAGCCTTAACTTGACCGTGCCTGGAGCACAGTATCTTCAAGGAGAATTCGGAGTGATGAACTTCTACCAGAATGATGCCTCGTATTCTCGTGCCGGATCGCTTCCTGAGAGACAGTTGGTGTTGGGTCGGAGACCGAATGTGCAACGAATCCCTGAATCTTGTGCAAAGCTCCTTGACAGAGCCAAGGGTCCCAAAGATCATTCGGTTTATCATACGGTCTATCCAAGTTCGGGCCTTTGATCTCTTGAGTCTTGCTATTTGGTTTTGGGGTGGAAGATGGGAGAAGCTAATATAAATGCATGGGAGAAAACATATGCATTCCTTGCATTCTTCACAGAAGGAAGCAGACTGCCTTTCAACTGGTCAAGGTATAGGTGTCAAGTAGACAGAGCCGTGTCAAGTAGACAGAGCCGTGAACCATCCAACGTGCACTTCGAGCTTTGCAGGAGGTTGTCACACCTCACAAAATGGTAGAGAGATGTAGAGAGTTGGGGCTGCAAAACTCCTGGACCAAGGTCATTCTGGTTCCTCCTCCTCCACATTAACTCCTCCGACTTCGAAGATTCAACGTTAATCAATGCGCCAGAGTTCTTTGGGGATACCATCGCTTGTATTGACTCCGACGTGGTCAGCAAGGCCTTCAAGCATGGCCAAGATGCCTTCGACTTGCGCTTGCTGCCAAGAGAGGTTGAATCAACTCCCCTCTATGATCAGCCTCCTGCACTGCAACACGGCACACTGGCTTTGGGGGTGCCACCCTGCGAGAAGCCAAGCCAGGACTTGCTCTTGGGGACCTTGAGCGAACCTGGCATTTATTCATTGCACCCATGCGAATGCTTCGGGGCAGCTTATGCAAGCGTCGAGCCTGTGCACGAAGACTTTGATGCAGCGGTGCCACGCAATCCGCAGGGCTACTTCAACAACGGCTCTGCTCCTAAGTCAGTTCGCAGTAACTTGAAACCTGTAGGACTAACCTTGTGGCAGGGTAGTAGAGTTTTTGGATCACAACCAAGGAAACAATAGCTGAGGTTTCTGACCAGCTCTTATTCTCCGGCCCGTACACCTGCGAAGAGTCTGTCCGGGTTTCCCAGAAATCCATGCTGTTGTTTCCCCACCTCCTTGGGCTTTGGTGTTTACACTTAGGGTGACTTTTTGTGGACTTGAGGATCATCAAGGGAAGGTTCTTGACCCTCAAGGTAGAAGGCATGTGAGCTCCAATTTTGGAGGGTCACTTCAGGGGGCTCGAGGATGTCCAGGGTGGCGCAGCAGGCGCCTCTTTCGGATGTTTCAGTAATTCGACGCGACGGCATGGCTGTTACACATCCGAAATGGCCTTGAAACGTGGAGATGACACACTCAAGATCAAGTACGTAGGGTGTGGTTGCTCCAAGCCCTGGAGAAACCTTGGTACGACCTAAGTAGTGCAGCGGCGGGGTCCAACCAGCTTCAAGTAGTTCACACCCAAGGTTCCAAAGTCTCTTCAAGACGAATGCATAACAGCGGATGCATGACTGCAGACCTGAATCATCCTGCAACAGCCTGACGACCTCTACGAATAGAAGCTGGTTACAACACTCACAAGCATGTAACAGTACAAACATAGCGGGTACACAAATGGACGTCTCCTCCAGCGACTTAGCTATGTTGGACAAGGTTCATCGCTGGAGCCCTGCTGCAGCTCCTGAATCCAAAGCATACACACACAATCACGCTCTACACTACACACGTTCACCTCACCCACACAGCACACGTCACCGCACACAATGTACATGTAACGTACCTACGTGTGCTTGACGAGCACTTTAGTGTAGGTTCTTTTTGCTCAAGGTGCTTGGAAAGCCAACCTTTTGATAACTTAAGATGAGTTGAGGGAGCTCAAGATTCATTTGCAAAGCTTCTGAGGCCTCGGTCGGGCATTTCAGCCACCTGGAAATGGACGAATGTCAAAGGGCCTGTGTTTCCAAATCTGAGTGTCAGTTCTACTTGTTTGGAAAGACTGCCCAGACCTGCACCTTGTTCCAGAGCTGCAGCTACATCCAAGATGTTGGCCTGCAGATCACGAACGAGGTCTATGGAATGTCTCCTGAGTTTGGTTCTTATTGCCGCATCGCAAACCCAGAACAATGTTGGCAAGAGATCAAGCGCCGAAGCATGCTGAGTTTCACTCCATCGAATTTGCCCAGCTGCCTTTTCCAAGAGCAATATGAGGCTTGCGATGCGCTTCAGCTTCTTCTTGGAAAGCAAGATGGTCCTTGCAGCCGCTGCCAGTACATTGATGCCTCAAGTGCATTTGCTGCGGTTGGTCTCAAGAAGGTTCCACCCCCAGAAGATTTTCCATCGGCCTCACAGATTATGGTCTCTTGCAATGACACTTCCAGAATGTTTAGCAGGCTGCAGAATGGTCTTCGCTGGGAAGGTCCAATGCAAGGTGATGCAACCTTTACGTGCGTGAGCGGTGAATGGGTTGGTGAACTTGGCCCTTGGCAATATCTGACGAACTTGACGTGCCAAGCTTAGGGATGGTGCGGGGCAAGGATGCTGAAGGCCAAAGACAAGATTCGGCGCGGCACACATGTATTATACTGTATGATGCATTTGTACTCACGGGCATGTGACTAGAGTATGGGTTCTCAGGTTTTGATTTACATACTTTAGGGCGTTTGTACTGTGAGCTCCTGTGTGCCCAGGAACACATGCATGACATTTTCTCAAGACATTGGACACAAGGAGCGTAAAGATCCGCAAGCACTGACCTGACCAGTACAAGCATTTTTGATCATCTTTGTGGTTGTCATCCAACATGGTTGGACTTTCCTTTGGACTTTTGAGTTTTCATTGGACATTCTCTTGGGCTTTTGAATTTTATTTGACGACGTTGTTTGAAGGTGTTTTGTTTTCATTGGAATTGCTGGCGGCGATTTTGGTGTTTGTCAGTTGTGGCTTTTCTGGGGCTCGTAATAGTTGGTCCCGTTAAGATTTTCCATTGACTGATCCCTACGCCAAATCAAGCCAAGGCCAAGGCTTCACTATCTAGGTATTCTTTTCTTTTTACACTTGTACCAGTGGCTGGCGCCTGCAAGTTTTGCTAGTTTTGCTCCCTTGGAAAACACATCTTGAATCTTGATCTTGGGTTTACATGAGTTTACTGTAAGCTTTGGCTTAGTTAAAACTTCCCGTCTTCCCGTCTTCACTTCTGAAACGCCACTGCTTTTGCAAAAGCACCTTGAGTAGGTTCAGGTTCAGGTTGAGTGTAGGGTTTATGGTTGCTGCTGGCCGTTTCAAATCTGTCCCCCTACCTTGCAGCGCCTTGCAAGCAGGATCTCGCTTTAAGGTTTCGGGCTTCGGCTACTTCTCGCCTTTGCAGTCTTTGTCACTATTCTGCTTGCTTTGTCGTGTAATGTAGCAGTCACTCGTCACTAGTCAATAGTGTCTTGGGTTCAAAGCTTGGGGTTATACCCACTTTCTGCAATCTGCTAGTTGAATATGAAACACTGCACAGACAAAGCAAATTCCCAGCCTCAGAGAACACTTTGCCTACCAAGCATGTATAATTAAAACCTGCTCCTTCCATTTCTGCTAGCTGCTGAGTCTGCTAAGTGAGTTAAGCTAAGTTGAGGACAGGCTATCCGCTTTTGCTTGGCCAGTCCCTGGTTGACTTTTCTACAAAAAGCCTTCACCATTCAACCTCCAGTTCTGCAGTTAGTTATTTTTTGGATGCTGCTGCTGCTCGAGTTCAGCTCGAGACTAGAGACT